AAAGGAAGGAAGGAGTTTTCTGCAGAACATTTTTGAATACAAAACTCTGTTCGGGGAGTTGCAGGTGGATGAAAGATAAGCAAAAAGTTACATGAGAGAAATGTTAAATAAAAACATTTAACATAATATCAGTCATGGAATATAAACTGGGGGGGGTGGGGGGGGGAGAGAAACCATAAAGAAGATCCACAGAAAGGACAGATCGCACATTTAGTTGGAAGAAATTAGTTAAGGCTTGTGGAGAAAATATCTTGTAGTCGACTATATTCTAAAATGGCCCCAAATTATTCTCACACTCCTAGTCTTCACACTTTTGTATAATCCCCTCCCTTCAAGTGTGAAAAGAACCTGTGCCTTGCTTCCACTCAATAGAATTTGGAAAAGACGATAGGATGTCATTTCCATGATTAGGTTACATAAGACTATAACATCAGTCTTGATAGCACGCTCTCTCCCTTGTTGGATCAAATGAAGCCAGCTGCCATATAGATAGGTCCTTGCAGCAAAGAGCAGCCAGCAAGGAACTGAGGTCCTCAGTCCAAAAGCCCACAAGGAATTAAATCTGGCCCACAATCACCTAAGCTTAGAAGCAGATCCTTCCCAAGTCAGGCCTTCAGATGAGAAACCCTGAAGCAGAAGACAGAGTTGAGCCATGTCCAGATTCCTGACTAAAGGTAAACCTTGTTTCCTTCCTCTACTCATAACACTTTGGATACCAAATGTATGGGTTTTCCACACAAAGTAATTTGCCCATTCTCTTCAGACACAACCTGGATGTCCCACAATTTAACTGAATTCGGACACTAAATACCCAGAGTTAGTACAGCCCCACAAATGAAGGGCTCAGTCCCCAAAACTTCCCCTCCTCCCTTCTTTTCAGATACCAAATGCAAGTAATGGGTCTCTAGGTTATCCACACTTCTAAGTTCACTACCAAGTGGTGTGGAGCTTCCCATGACCCCTTGCTTAGGTTCAATAACCACTCACAGATCTCAGGGAAACACATACCTGACATTTACTGATTTAATACAAAGAATATAAAAAAGGCTGATGAACAGCTAGATGAAGATATACATAGGTTGAGGTTTTCAAGACTCCTAAGCACACGAGTGTCTGTTCCTATGGAGTAGAAGTATAGTAACCCTCCTAGCACATAGGTGAATTCACCAACCTAAAAGCTCTCCAACCCCCAAAGTTCAGAAATTTCTATGAAATCCCATAGGAATGATCAATTTTATCAGGTAGGTATGGTCAATTGTTAACTCAGTCTCCAGCCCTCCTTCCCTCTCTGGGGGTTGGAGGGTGGAGCTGCAAATTTCAAGCTTCTAATTACAGCTTGGTCTTTCAGGTGACCAGTCTCCACCCTGAAGCTATCTAGGAGTCCACCAAGAGACTGGAACAATAGATGTGTCTATCACTCAGGAAATTACGAGAGTTTTAGAAGTACTGTGTCAGGAACCAGGGTCAAAGACCAAATATTAGAACAAAAGATGTTCCTAGCACTGCTATCACTCAGGAAATTACAAGGGTTTTAGGAGCTGTGTCAGGAACCCGAGGCAGAGATCAAATAAATATTTCTTATTATGTTACACTGACTCACAGAAAATGCAGGATAATAAATGTGTTGTTTTGAGCCACTACATTTGTGGCACAGCCATAGGTAATTAATACACATGTAAAAGGGCAGTTGATATTTGAAGATTGGAGGAATTTTCACAGGAAGAGATAAGGAATTGGGCAGCATACATGGCAGGAAGGAGGAAGCACAAAGGTAGAAGAGGGAAGGAACTGCTTAGGAACAATACAAAGTTTGGTGTGACTGAAACATAGATCTGAATGGGCAAGTGCAAGAGGCAATAAGCGTCAAAAACTGATTTGGAAACTACCAATAATGGAATGCTATGCTTTCTCCTTTTTAAGACACCTTCCCTTCCATTAGCTCATTGACTTAGGCAAGAACTTATGAAGAAGCCAAAGCAACTATGTATTGTGAAGGTGTGTTTTTGCTTTATTGATGTTTTAGGGGGGTTTCTTTGGTTGTTGTTCTTTTGGTTATTGTGTGTGTGTTTTTTACAAATAAGGAATATGAAGCACTAATAATAAAGAATTAATGGCAAAAACTCTTGTTCAGTTACCATGTTGCCACATTTTTTTTGGATTCCCCTTTGCTGGTATGGATTCAAAGAGGGCTAGCCAGACAGGTTGGATCCTGGCCCCTAAGCACCAGGGTGGAGGGTCTAAGGAGCATTTGTACCTGGATTAGTAGGTACAATGAGGCCTGGGTGTACTCCAAAAAGCCAATAGTGTAGCATTCTCAACTGCAGAAGCTGGTATTAAAGATGCTTTGAAATAAAAAGGATCAAAATGAGTGTCAGAGCCAAACTCAAGCTTATCAAGTTCATGATTGCTGCTTCTGGCTCAAACAAATGAGGGTCAGCCAACTGGGAACAGAGATGGGAGCTGAGCTTTCACTCAGGAGACTAATGAAAGGGTGTGCAAGGCTGGTAGGGAAGAGACTGGGTCCACTTAAAGGGATATGGATAACTCAATCATTTCCTAGAGTTTTTTTAAACTAATATCAGAAAACAAGGGACAATTTTCTACTGTAAAATGTTAAATAAGATCTGTCCTTAATAATGGACATTTTCTACCCAGTATAGGACAGCTGTCAGTTTCCTCTCCCCATCCAGAGTCTCATGACCCAGTTTTAATTTTATTTTTTCTTTCCTCAACAGGCTTAGTTAAAATCTCAACATTATTCTAATTACCAGGCAAAGATTTCTCTTGGCATGTTTCTTCACAACTTAAAAAACTTAGTTAGTAGTTCTTAAGAGAGAATGGGCATTATTTAGAGCACATGTGTCAAACACAAGGCCCGCGGGCCAAATCCGTCCCGCCAGGCCTTGCAATGTGGCCCGCACCACGCTGTCATCACTGCACTCCGCTGCGTTTCCATCACAATGACAGTTTATGACTGTTCATTAAACCATTCGTCCCGCGATTTAGGCTGGATTTTAGATTTTGGCCCCTTCTCTGATTGAGTTCGACACCCCTAATTTAGAGTGATCCAAAAAAGAAATCAATGTCATTAAGATGGATCTGTAGGCATATAATTCTGCACAGTGGCAATGAAAGGGTCTCTAACCAAAACCAAACAAAAGATAATAAAGAAAAATACATAAACCCTTAAGGAAGTAGCTTAAACACTTAAAATTATTTTTTAAAGGCTTCATTACTCAAGTGAATAAACCTGGGATATGCTGACCAAAGGGATAAATTGGGAAAATCTACTTGATTGGGCCTTCCCTTCTGAAGACCTGAAAACTAACCTCACAGGCAGTAGTACTAGAATCCCAGCAGAGGGAAATGGGATGAGTACATTCATTGTCCCCATCTACAATTGATTCTGTTTCCCAGTTCAATAAAAACCAAATTGAACTTTTTTCTTTAAATCTATTTTTCCAAAATGTTTAAATACAAAAGAGAGAGGGGCCTTCCCTGAACAAAGTTTGATTTGAAATAATTGTGAGAATTAGACTTTTTAAATGAAAATTATCTTTAGTCATTTGATATCCTTGAAAGAGAGGCATTCTTTCATTTATTGAAAATACTCAACACTTCCTTGCTCTACACACTTTTCTGTTAGGTCTTTTGTTGTTATTAATCATCATCTGAGGATTTTTTTCCATTGATTTTTAGAGAGTGTGGAAGGGAGAGGGAGAGACAGAGACAGAGAACTGTTGATGTGAGAGACACACAGTAATTGTTTGCCTTCCACATGCACCCCTACCAGGGCCTGGTCTTCCCTCCCTCTGCTCATCAATTCCTCTTCTCTATGTGCACTATATGGTTACTAGCAGCCTCTGTTCCCTAAAAACTGTCTCCAGTCCTCACTCTATTTGACATTTGAGCTTCAGAGTCCTCAAGCTATGGAAGAAAAAATCTAATGGCCACTGATGACCCTTGGGTCAGGAATCTGCTCATGGTCTAACCAAGATCGGGGGGCAAGGTTAGATTGTATGTACTGCTTCAGTAAATGCAGTTCCCATTGAAAGGAACAAATGCAGGCAAGACCCAGAACATATCTTTATTGAAGCTCTTCTTACAGACTAATTTCACCTTGAGAACAAGCATCTAGATTTTACTCTTTATTCACCTTTCTTTTCCCAGCAAATAGAAAGAAGAAAAAAAAATCCCTCTGTATTCTCTTGGATATTCATTGAGATGACAGAACATTCAAACAAACTGGTTTATATATCAAAGGTGACTCATGCAATTAGTAATCCAGAAGTAAGGCACTTCAGGGTAGAAGATCCCGGGCCCACTTAGGGGCCCAGATTTTTTCCTGGTCTTCTATCTACAATACTTAATAAGATGTAGAAAAGCTTCCAGTAGCAATTAGGGATAAATGTTTCCTGTTTATATCTATCAGAAAACTACTTACATCCCAGAACTCCTAGCAGGAATCACCCTGATTAAACAGATTATATCATGTGCCTAAGAGGAATAATATGAAGCTACAATATTTAATATAATACCACAAAAACATATATAGCTACTTAAAAGAAAATTAACTAAAATTAGAAACAATTAATTCAATTTATCGGTCACACTAGCCACATTTCAAGTGCTCAACAGTCACATGCAGCTACTAGCTGCAGTATTGAACAGTATAAATTAGAACATTTCCATTGCTGCAAAAAGTTCTATTGACATAAGGTAACCAAGTATATCAAGCAACTTATACAAGACAGCAAGACTCAGTTTGGCAATCGGAGGCAACTTGTCTAAAGTTCAAGGAAATTAGGAAAGAAACATGTCCAGATGAAAGTCTGGGAACTTGTGGGAAAGAGAAAATAGACAGAAGGTGGGCAATGAACAATGTCTAATATATTTTTATAAAAAGATATTAATCTGATCTGGCATGATTGCTCTTCAAAAAGTAAGACCACATGTAGAAATTGTCTGTTGTTATTATAAGGTAATTTTCTTTTATGAACTCACTAACTTCCTGTAGGACACTGGACAAGCCAAGTAACTTCTCTGAGCCTCAGTTTCCTCGTCTGTAAAACAAAAGGGATGAACTAGATCAGTTGTTTCTGACCTTTTAATCACAGCAGATTTTTTTATAAGTACATTTTAAAAGTGAATTTTTGCCCAACATCTGACACTTTGAAGTATTTTTATTAACTGCTTTGAAAATTAATTTTCTATCTTATTGTTATTGGGGTTTTTTTGTTTTGTTTTGTTTTTACCAAAAACATGTAACTTAGAGCTTCTGATCGGCAAGAAATGTCACAATGGTGGGCAGGCATCATTTGTATCAGTGAAGTAAGTTTACCTTTCGGTCTTACTGAAAACAATTTTACTACTTTCATTTACTGTTATAAAATATTTATAAATAATGTCAAATGCTCCATTGAAAGCCCTAGGGGTAGACCATCACATGTCAAGTACATGATCAAGTAGGACCTGTGCAGGTCCAAATTCTATGATTTCTATGACAATGAAATTATAAAGTTATGACCGTTGTCACCAGCACAAACTTGCCCAATCTGAAAAGTATCAGAGAAAGGAATGAGTGAATGGACTGGGAAGAAAGATTTCAAGGGTGACTGAAATATAGTGAACAAGGGACAAAAATTAAGAAAATGATATCATCACATAAAGATGTTGATCTTCCCTTTTCATTATTAAATAATCCAGGAAACAAGTGTAAAGCTAAAGTTAACAACAAGAGAATTGAGTGTGCTATATTGAATAGGGTGCTAGAAGGGCCCCAGGGAGGATGATTCCAGACATTTTCAAGTCTTCATTCACCTCCACTGAAGAGAAGGGCAGGCACAAATAATGACATACTAGAATCCTGGGAACTCTAATCCTATATAATAAAAGCCCAGGACCATAAGTGGAACAACCACTCGACCCGTCACCATGAGGTGCACTGACCACCTCTCAGTCCCTCCCCTCTTCCCCACAGGCTCCAATCGCAGCATGGGGGGTAGGGGGCCGGGAAGGGTGGCAGCAGGGCAGAACTGGGGACCGTGGAGTGGCGGCAGGCTGGTGGTGAATGGTGGTGAGCACCAGCGGCGAGAGGCAGTGAGCATCATGGGGCATCGGTGGTGAGCATTGTGGAGCGTTGCAGGGTGGGGAGTGTTGAGGAGTATCATGGGATGGTGGAGGTGAGCGTCACTGAGCTTAGCAGGGCAGCTGTGGAAAGTGATGTGGAGCATCAAGGAGAATCACAGGATAGGGAGCTTCTCAGAGCCTCCAGAAGAGTGTTGCGGAGCATCAGGGAGCATCACCAGGCAGTCAGTGATGGGGAGATAGGGAGGACTGCGTGATGTGACAGGGAGGGGAGCTTCACTGAGCGCTGCTGGGTGAAGGAGGCGAGCATCACAGAGCTTCATGGGGGAACGAGCATTGCATCACATCACAGGGCAGCAGTGGCAAGAGTCGTCGGGCATCATGGGGCATAGGACATGGCCCTGATCGCAGGCTAGGCCAGGGACCCTACTCATGCAAGATTTCATGCGCTGAGCCTCTAGTTTCCAGATAATAGCATAAAGAATGTTTATTATTATTTCCTTTTATTTAAATTTCTATGCCCAAAATTTTAAAGCTGCTACCAAGAAGGCTGACAGACATGCTATTCCTAAGTACTTTACTTATTCTATAAAATAAACTACTTGTAATATTAGAAAAATATTCTGAAACCCAAGTCCCCTACATCTGCTGATGTGTCAAAGAAAAACTAGGCAAGTAGGTAGAAGTGACTCCATAATTTAAAAATTTTTAAAGGGCAAAGGAGGAAGTGAAAAGAATAAACTGAAGAAAGTACTGGGCAAGCTTCAGTTATATTTCAATAACGAACAGAATTCATTACTATTATTTTAAGATTTCTTATAGTTCATCATGATTTTATATTTGTTTACCCTTCTAATAAATGTAAATTTAATAACAAAAAATCCTTTTAAAAATCCATCTCCCTTAAGCAGCTAAATAATGGAATTACCATATGACCCAATAATTCTACCCCTAGGTATGTGCACAAATAAATTGAAAACAAGGTACTCAGATAGTTACACAACAATGTTCATTACAGCACTACTCACTATTCCATACCAAAAGGTGGAAACAATTCATATGTCCATCAACATGGATGGATAAACAAAATGTGATACACACACACACACACACACACACACACACAGTATAATGGAATATTATTCAGCCATAAAAAAAAGCACTGAGAAAGAAAGGCTCTCTAATTCTTCCTCCAAAGTTAATAGAGCTTGATACCAAAATGACAATAGAAATAAACCATAGACCAATCTTACATTTTATATTTATTATAAATACTAAATAAATAATGATTATAATAAATTAAATAAGCCAGACACAAAAGGAGACATATTATATGATTCCACTTATTATGAAATATTGAGAACAAATTTCTAAAGAGATAGTAGATTAGTGTTTATCAAGGTTAGGGTAGGTGAAATAAAGAGTTACTGCTTAATGAGTTTTGTTTAGGGTGATGAGAAAGTGTTGAAATAGTAATAGCAGTGTAATAGTTGCACAGCATTAATGTAATTAATGCAATTTAATTGAATATATAAAAATGACAAAATTTGTAGTATATATATATATTTACCACACACACACAAATTAAACCCACATGAGTTTCTGCTTGTTACAGAGCCTGTAGGACAGGGAAGTTTGATAAACAATAGTTATTGCTTCCACAGAGGGGGACCCAGGGGCAGAAGAGAACATGTAGGCCCCTGGACTCCCACAGTCCCTTAAAGAAACTCTTAGAATAGAGGGGTTTCTTTGAGGATCTAACTAGATGCCAAAGACTCTATACTACAAAACTATATTCGCAGTCAAGCTCCTGTCATGAGCTTCAACTTGCGTTTTCTTTTTCTTTTTTTCTTTTTTTAATATATTTTATTGATTTTTTTACAGAGAGGAAGGGAGAGGGATAGAGAGCTAGAAACATCGATGAGAGAGAAACATCGACAAGCTGCCTCCTGCACACCCCCTTCTGGGAATGTGCCTGCAACCAAGGTACATGCCTTTGACCGGAATTGAACCTGGTACCCTTCAGTCCACAGGCTGATGCTCTATCCACTAAGCCAAACCGGTTTCGGCCAACTTGCATTTTCAAAAACATATGATTACCTCAGACTTAATGTATCTGAAAGTTCTTAGTAATAAAATATAAAAGTAGAAATTAGTTACTTAAAATAACTAAATAATAAAAATAATAAGTTCTTTTATAAATTAGGCAGATCACTACCTAGCATTATAAAAATGAGGTGTAAATTGAAAAAAGTTATAATCACAGATGCACAGGAAATTAAACAACTGAAAAAATGTCAACAACTCTAATATATGAGAATTAGAGGCCAAGTGCACAAAATTTGTGCATGGGAGGGAGGTTGTCCCTCAGCCCATCCGGCACCCTCTCCAATCTGAGACCCCTTGAGGGATGTCCGACCACCCGTTTAGATAGGTTTGGGCCTAAATGGGCGGTTGGAATCCCTCTCACAATCCAGGACTGCAGGCTCCCAACCGCTCGCCTGCCTCTGCCTGATTGCCCCTAACCACTTCTGCCTGCCAACCTGATCACTCCCTAACCATTCTACTGCCAGCCTGATCGATGCCTAATTGTTCCCTGGCCAGCCCGATGGCCCCTAACTGCCCTCCCCTGTTGGCCTGGTCACCCCTAACTGCCCTCCCCTGCCAGTCTCGTTGCCCCTAACTGACTTCCCCTGCTGGCCATCTTGTGATGGCCATCTTGTGTCCACATGGGGGCAGGCATCTTTGACCACTTGGGTGTGTCCATCTTGTGCCTTGGAGTAACAGTCAATTTGCATGTTATTCTTTTACTAGATAGGATATGTGGTTCAAATATATGATTTCCTAGAAAATATAAATTATCAAGATTAATGCAAGAGAAAAAATTTTCTACAGAAACCAATAATCATTAAAAATGGAAAAAGTTGCTAGCTAAAGAAAGCCCTAGCCCATGTTTCAAGCACAAGTTTTGTAAATGCTTCGATCACTGAGAACAGCTGGTCATTCTTGATGCTATTTCAATTGTTTCAAAACATCGAGAAAGGCTCCCCAATTCTCCCTTCAAAGTTAATAGAGCTTGATACCAAAACCACAATAGAAATAAACCACAGACCAATCTCACACTTTGTATTGTAAATACAAAAATCATTAATAATTAGCAAACAGAACTGTTATAAAATATGTTACATACCAAAACTAAATGAGGGTCATGATCATATGAGGGATGCAAGAATTATTCAATGTTACATGTCATCATGTAAACAAGCCAAAGGGAATAAAAGCATTTTGAAAGAAGTTCAAAACGCACTTAAAAATTTTTTCAATATCCAGTTCTAATAGGAACTTTTAGTAAAAAAGAAAGAGAAAACTAGGTTAACTTGATCTCAAGCCAACAACTAGCCTTGTTCTTGAGGGTTTAATAGTAGAAGCATTCCCATTAAAGTCCGGAAGAAAACAATTACCACTATTATGTAATACATTTCTTAAAGCAATGGCCAATGGAGTGATATAATAAGCACACAATTAGAAAGGAAGGAGCAAAAATCAATGTTTGCAGATCAAATTATTTTATAACTAGAAAATCAAAATAACCAACTGAAAAATTATTAGAAATACTAAGAGCACTCATTAAATTTAAAAAATTTACAAGAACAACCACAATAGCTTTTTTTATATCTCAACAAAGACCTATGAGAAAATGCTAGAAAAAAATATCCTTTCAACTTAATAACAAGAAAAACACAAAATACTCAAGTTTTTTCTAGTAAAAAATGGGCAAGACAATGCAATAGATAAACCACTACACATATTAAGAAGTTCTAAGAGGTTATAATTCACAAAGTGACTAGTTTTGATAAATGAAGATGTACATAGACCAGACTAGAGCCAAAACAGCAAAATAGGGCACAAGAGTCCCCAAAAAAGATTGCACAATTGGTTAAAAGAATTTAGGCAAGAGATTTTAGTCTGTAATTTA